TAAATGAGGGGGACACACACACTTGGCAAGTATGTCAAAGTTGTGTCGTTCAGTCTTCCAATGCCTCAAGAGACTTGTAGTTCTACAACAGCTGAAGTGCTGATATTTACTACCCCTGGAGTAAATCTACTGCATGATGCCACCAACTAAACCTATCTTTTGGATTCATGACCATTATGCTCCTCAAACTAGCAATTTAAACCATTAACAAATATCGAAAATGTGCATCTGTTTTCATGGGACAACTGAACAGGAAACACAATTCTTTTTTTTTTTTCTTTTTTTTTGTTTGTTCTGTCAACTATATGTATTTACACATCCCTTCCCAAGACTCATCTGTACGGATAGAATGACGACCTACAGAGCTGGTGGTATCCACAGGCAGGGTCCAATTTGCCAAGACTCGGGAGTAGAATCCAGTGTAGTTTATTCAGGCTTGACGATACAGAGTATGTTATTCCTTATTCATTGAGGTGGAAAGACCTTTTTCTATCTGAAGCCTTTTACAGCGTGAACTGAACCCTCTTGGCACAGCGAGGGTGAAGTGAAAAACTGGGAAGGAGAGGCTGGCAGTGTTTAACACTAAACATAAGGGAGGTTGAATGGAAGAAGGCAAATGTATACTGAAATTAAGCTGTAATGATGCTAATCCACCACTGGCTGTCAGGAGAATACCATAACCATGACTATATGAAACCGTGTAATAACCAAACAATACTGGTCATGGCAGCACATTAATTAGATATCTATGCACTTTTAAAGCCTAACTCTGTACATATTAAACCATAATGGGCACAGACGGCAGTCCAAAAAAATACAATTTGGATGGGCAAGGTTAAGAACTTGAGTATCCAGTCCATGTACACCCTTCTGTGCATGCCCCTAAAGATGTGCATTAATCCTGATCATTGTGATAAACCATTTGAGTTAAACTTTGAATGTAAATTGCTGTCCTACTATGGGAAGATACCAAACTACTATGATTATAGCTTTACTTTTGCTGAATGGCATAACTGAACTTCATGTGTTTATCTTATGTAGAAGTTTTAATATTGGCATTTGCTCTAAAGATATAATGGTTATTTCTAGGATATGTGAGACAAATGCGCTACAAAAATTATGATGGAAGCTTCAGCGCCTTTGGCCCGGGGAGCTCTGCAGCAAGTTCATGGTAATGTTTTGTTTTTATTCCTGCACTAAATGAGTGATACTTAGTGTAAATACGTTAATAAATCATATAATATTGGTGAATTTATGTGAAAGCTGCTGCAATAAAGGCAACTGGGTCAAATCATATGTATTCACAAATATGCAGCGCCAATCTTGTGACTGTGCCTAAGTGACTAAATAACGTGTATACCTCCTATTGGTCCATCGACCTATATTACAACTGTGATGAATGATCAAAATGTAATGTGTATATATAAATAAGCGATCAGTGTGTATAGGTCACTATACACCTTCAAAATTATCTAGTGTCCAAATTATATCTGCCAAACATAAAAAGCAAAAATCAGTGTATAACACTATATATAAGTGAAACAGTGTAAAAATGAGTGACTGAGATGCGTACTTGTAACACTATATATACAGGTGTGTATCTGTGGTTCGGTTATTCAATAACCCTGGACAGTGAACCCCACAGTATCCCTATTAGTGTTGAAACACTGTGAATAGTCCATATAATCCTATAGCATTCCTGGTGTACAAAGTTTATTCAATCTGTGCGTTGATGTGAGCGGTCCTGTGAAAGTTGCTGGGGATTTAGGCGAGTGCCGTACGTCTCCCCTCAAAATGTGCACTCACCGTGATGTGATGGCTGTAGTAAGCAGCCGAAAGCGCTTGTATGGTAACTCACGGAGCCACAGCGTCCTCTTTCCTGCTGTGGGTCTGCTGGTACCTGTGGCTCTACAAGCATGTGCTCTGCTCTTGCTGCAGAGTTGGCTCTATAGGTCGCTGGACCAATAGAGGTATAGACGTTATTTAGTCATCACTTAGTTAAGTTCATGGTGAGCTTGAGCAAGATTAGCTAGCCACCCTACTACTGAGCATTTTGTGCTTACAATGTTGCAAGCCAGAACTATGCTTTTGTAACTTTCAAGTATTAGGAGATCTTGGTCATTTTAGTAGCTCGGGCATAAGTGACCAGTCCTAGTTCTGCGTCTTCCTCTCTCCATATAAATCTGCAGCTTCCTTGTGGCATTTTATAGATGTAATCTGACTAGGTGATACTAATTAGACATGTGCACCGGCAAAAAAAATAGTTTTTTTCGGGTCCGAAAGTCAATTAGTTTTCGGATTCGGACAAAATTTGTTAGCGGTAAGTCTGTACGAAGTTTCGTTTATTCGTGGCAGCAAAGTGACATTTGAGGACTTTTTTTTTTTCTTCAAATGTCATGTTGCTGCAACAAAATTTCATACAGATACCGCTAACACATTTAGGAATAGGAAATTCAGATTCGTCTGCATTTGTTATATTTGTAACTCGAATACATCCTACATTTCGTACGAATTTCCATTCGAAATGAATCGCACATGTTTAATACTAAGTCGGTGGCCATGCAGGTTGGAGCAGTTATTGGGAACAGTTGCAGATTACTTTTCAGTAAAACAACCTGCAAAAATAACTTTACATTTGCAACAAGCTGAGCTCATACCCTTTTTTTTTTTTTTTATATGTACCTCCTTGTTTGGCATAGGGCATGCCATGTTAATGGAACTACCCTGTTTTTGCCACTAATGGTTGAGTGAACCTTTTGGCAGTAATTCAGCTCTGCAGATGGTTACGGTCAGCCCTGAAAAGTAGGTTTAAAGCCTCTTCTCTTTACCACACAGAAAATTATACCGGAATTGACACCTGAGGCTCTAGCTTGTCCCAGCTAATCCAATATCACCCTTAACCCTAAGGCTGTCTTCTTTGTGGATGGTTGGGTTTTCTTTAAATAGAAATCTGGATACAAATGGAGGTGGGCAGGGGTGCAGGCCACACGTGTTCAAAAGGAAAGCCTAAAGCGCCAAGTTTAATTTTGCTGCAGATTTAGGGTTTTAAAAGATGGTCACTTTGTCCATTAACACCATGAACATTTCTGTAAATCAGTTCTTCTCCCTGCCCATCACTGATGCAGTGCTGTCCAATTGGATGCGCTACATCTAGAAGGAACACGGGACCCTCTTATCTCCTGGCTCTGGAAGTCCTCTGATGTCTTTCGTTGAAGTCTTTTATTATTTTTGCTTCTGTAGGAAGGTGATTAAAAAACGTTTGGGGGGAGAAAAAAAAAATTGACCAGCGTATGTTTGTTTTTGAAGGCTGACACTGTTGAGTTTGAAAACCTTGTGGGGCGTGAGCTCATACACCTTTGTTGATCCCAACATCTTCAAGCAGGGTGTGATCTATTTTGAAAAGTTGCAGGAATTTCCTATGGGACGGTTCAAGACACAGGGTACCCTATTTAACAATGGACTGAAGGTACAAGCACTATTTGCTATTGCGTAAAGTTGTCTTCTTATTATTTGACTCGTGCAAGATTTCTAATTAACAAATGACTGCATGAATGTGAATTTTTCAAAACCTAAATATGCTAAACTTGTAAATATACACACATGACAAATGTGTACCACAAAGTGACTAAACATTTGACTAAACATTTGATTAAACATTTGATATAAAAGTGTATTTTCTTCAATCTCCGATGCATGAATTTCAGTGCACAATCTGTGCCCTCACTCCTAGAAACCTGCTCACCTTAAGATCCTAACCATGAAGGTTAAACAATGTGGTCGCCTCCTGTCCCAGAGACTCAATGAAACAAGCCCACATTCACACCTGCACATTGATGAAAATGCGACACCCTAAAACACTCTTTGCCACTAATTTCTAATGGCACCCCAAACACTGCCAAGAAAATGGCAGTTTTCTGCATTTGCGCAAGTTAAAAAAGAAAATAAAAACGCAACATGACGGTGTGTTGCAAAATTTGCTACCTGAGCTCCTGGGTTTTTTTTTTTTCCTGGGACAACCCAAAGAATTTACCATCACTTTCTAAACATCGTGGTTGCAAGGACAAACACAGGGGTGAGTCTCCCCAGTGGGTACTCCGACAATAAAATTAGAACTCCTCCCCATACCGAAACTAGAAAATTGACTTTCTAGGGACCTTTCCTTTATCGTTGGCATTTTACACATACACATGTAATTTGAATTCTTGAATGAAGCCTTATACAAGACTTGGATGACACAAGACACTTTAGAAGGAAAATTAAATTGGCATTTGCTTGGGACCCGGTGTAGTGTCCCGGTGGAGTACTTGCCCAATACAACACTCCAACCCCCAACAAAAACACATTCCTCTTGTTGCACCTTATTTTGAGTGACAAATCTGTCAAAAAAAGGTTAAGTGGAAGACTGTTTTAGCATAAGTGTCATTTAATGTAGTCCAAGGTATCTTCAAGGTACAGGTATAACAGTTTTTATTTTTACAGGGAGGCGCTGATGATGACGTTGCTTTCACGTGTGCTGTGGTTGCGTTCTTGTCTGAGACCACCTATGCAGCTACCGTAAGTAGTTTTGTCCCGTCAGCTGTACTTGGTAATCTAATGGTGACCACCAATGATTTTTCCACAAGCTCTATAACCTAATAGCTAGAAGTACTGCAATTCTATAGAACCAAATTGTGTATGGGACTTTTGATCTTTCATTTACAGTGGTTGTGGGTTCTTTCCAAATACTGTTAACGGGATTGGATGGGTTAGGAAATAGTTTTTATGGGATTGTTCCATCTGATGCAACTGATTTCATTTGTAAAAATTGTTTTGTAAATTGAGTTGTATTGCTAAAAAGGCAAATACTTGTATTTTAAATTTTACTTGCTGATACACCAAATAAAGTACATGACCAGGATAACTAGGGGTTTAATGAGGCAATGAAGAAAAGCAATAATGAGTTGGACCAAGGATGACAAGTTGGCTGCTGTGGGGTATTGCATTTTGCTTTTATAACACCCATGGTCATGCCAACAGATGTTGCAGCTAAAAGGGTTCATGTGGCTCCCATCATAGAGCAAATGTACATGACGTGTCCAATAATTAACAACCGATCTTGTGCTCTTTCCAGCCCTCGCTGTTGCGTTCAGCTCTTTCCTACCTGGATGAGGCCTCTCGGAAGGATCAGCCGGTGTATAACTATGCTATGCTCTTCTATGTCTTCCGGGTATGTGGGAATGTGGAGCGTGCCAACGCCATGCATGAAAAGCTGAAGTCTTTGGCCATTGATGAAGGTAAGCAAAGCCAACAAACGTGCTTTTTGAACAGTTACCAGATCCATGTGTGTGTGGGGGGGATTTCACTTTTATTAATTGAAACTGAACTTCAGCATGTAGTGAAAACGGGTTTTATTTAAGACATTTACATCTTCCAATCCCTTACAACCAAGGAAGGTGCCATCTGGGCTTCTATCTAGATTAGTTGCCATGGTGTTGCACGTGTGACTAGCCATGAAACCAGATATTTGAGGGCTTGAAAGCTCGGTTGGGAGCTGAAATAATAACTTGACAGTTAGCATGTGTTAAAAGTAACTGTTTTGGGACCAATGTATTAGGTGGGTAAAGTTGCTCCAATTAACTGGCATGTTAAAGTGGTGGAACTAGGGAAGGCAAAATATAAGCAGGGCAAATTTTGGCTTCAAACCTATTAAAGAATGCATATATTAGAAGAAAAAATAACCAAGGGTGGGGGGAAGAATAACATGCGCATCCTGGTAAATGAGCTTTGATACTGGTTTCCCTTTAGCAGATTTTATTTGGACATATATGGGTTGTACTTTTGTGGTGATTTTTAGATCTTCATTATCTTGTAAGTTTATTCCAACTCCTGCCAACCAATTTGACGGTAATCTGCCATCCTTTTATGGTCTTTGACTTTTGCAATGGCGTGTTCATAATATACTACTAATTTGCTGTTCATCCCTTTTTCATTACATGAGTATGAAGATCTGTAGTATTTAAACTGGCATTGTTCTATTGTCTGTCTGTCCTATTGGCAACCATTTTTGCTGCCCTGTTTTCTATGGGCCTCCATTCAGTAGAGGTGACTGCAGGCCTTGGAGAATGACCACGTTTCAAAATGGCATGCATTGGAATCCTGGTTTATCAATTTGTGGACATGCTGTTTAAACTGCTAGCCATGCAGGAACCTCTAATCCTCAGAAGGATGAGGTCTGAAGACACTGATGGATGTTAATGCTGACAGAACAATCTCTGATCTTTACTCCTGTGTAGAGAGCCTAAATCTGCTATTAGAAACACTAATATATAATATATAATATTTAAATTGATTTATTTTCTGCCATCCTCAGGTGACTCTATTCACTGGGAGCGCACAGTCCTACCAAAGCAGCAAACTCCATACCTGTTCCCTCCTCGTGCCCCATCAGCAGAGTTGGAGATAACAGCCATTGTGCTTAAGGCTCTGGCTTACGGGGAGAATAGTTCTACAGTATCTGCAGAGAACCTGAACAACATGGCCAAGATCAGCACCTATCTTGTTCGACAGCAGAATATACATGGCTCTTATCGTACCACATCGGTAATGTCTCTGTTCTTGGGCATGCACCAGAATTTTTCATACTTGCACTACAGACCAGACTGTTTTTGTAGCCCTTTAAGGAGGCAGTATATGTAAACCATGTTTAACTGTATGTGGGATCTAACATGCTTGCAAGACCAAGTACCAATGTTTGGTATGAACTATATTGCCAGCAATTAATTTAAATTGCCTTGGGTCGCTGTGTTTTGGTGTAAAGGTTCAGCAACACATGAGTAGCTGGAGACCTCAGATTCGTACAAAACAATGTAAGGCGAAGCGGCTCAGATCCTTACTCGTAACAAAAGCAAATATGGGAAGGGCAGTTTGCCATATGCTTGTATAATTCTGAGGGCACTGTTTGGCTCAATGTGTTTTACAAATTATGTAACTAAAATCTCTATCTGTATGAATATAGTAAAGGTCGGTTTGAACTGAGCCTCTCTGTAGCAGGTTTTATAAAACTGGGCAAAAGAACTTCTGTGACAATCTAATTTTCACCTGAAAGGTTCAGTGTAATGGGGTTGCTTTAATGAGTAGAGCATGTTCTCTTTGCAAAGTGCATTTTATCACCTTCATGAAGTTTACTCAATTACTCAATTATGTGCAAATAAAGGTTTTCTCATTTGCAAATGGAATGTGGTGAAGTTGCACAGGTTTGGATGGTTGTCAGCAGAAAGTGAACATGCGCTACTTTAGTAAATCAACCCTAATGTCTCAAACTATTACATTGCATATAGATCCTCAACTGGTAGAATCACTAGACCTAAACAGAGCAATACTGCGTATGCTAGTATAGGACTCTCATGGATTAGTTCAGTTACCATTTGCAATCCATTGGCAGTGACCTAGAATGAAGGATAATTTTGTATGAAATGGATATGAATATAATTTGAAGCGATGTAAGAATCCTTTGTACTAGAATTTAGACCTTTACGTTGGCATTAAATCCCAAATTTGTCACTAGGACTCGGAGGGTACATCTTTCAATGGGGGGGGGTTCTCAATCACGTCCCACTTAACAAAACGTATGCTGGTTTTAACCCATCCTTCCTTTTCCCCCTCAGGACACAGTGACGGTGCTGGAAGCCCTCTGTCTTTATGGAGCCCTTGTGCACCAAAAAGATGCCACAAACACTGTTCAGCTGAAATCTGGAGGTCAGCTCATCAGAGAATTCAATGTTGACCAATCCAGCAGAATCCTCCTCCAGTCTGAGGCTCTTCCTCAGGTTCCTGGAGACTACAACATGGTGGTGTCTGGGAATGGCTGTGTACTGCTGCAGGTAATGCGTCATGTTATGTTGCTGGTCATTTTGATAGACATGCCAGATAAACATGAAGCCAACGGTTGAATAGAAACACAACTGGACTGTATGATGCCACCTCCACTCTCTCCCTGTGCTCTGTGTTGATAAAATGAGCCAAATATTTCATGGTACACCTCGGCTGCTTCAGGACCTCCTTTAATGCCCTACCTAATTTTGTAAGCAGCTTGTGAATGGGTGTTTACACTTATAACGTTTTGCTTTTTAACTTGACTGAAGGACTGTTGTACAATATTATGTGTGACTAGTCTATGAACATCCTGCTCCACCCCCTCTGTGGTACCTCGGCAAGCTTTGGAGGCCATTTGGCAGAAATTTTTTGTGGCAGAGAACACTTATGTCCACACACAACCCACCGCTGAGGTTATATTTCTCAGGATATGTGCACAGGGTCTACCCCCAGGACCCCTTGCAGTTGTACATGCCTGAAACACTGTCTTTGGGCATCTGTAAAAGATGTCCAAAGTACTTCAAAAGGCATGTCCTTGGTCTAAGCCTATACTGAGGTGCATAACACAAAGATTTTAGTATAACAATCTCATATTCTTGTTTAGAAGCTGTTGCTTATCATACAGGATGGAAATGGATTGATCAGTAAGTCTTGAACCTTCTGCAAAAACTCTGCTTTTCTTCCACAGCAGAACTGTACAACCTTTTATAGATGTCTGTTCAATCCATTTATTGGTCCTCCTATCCCTCTGGGATCCATTCACTGTTGCTAGTGAATGGATCCCAAGTCACCTTTTTTATATAAATGTCCAATGGAGGAATTGTCGGATGAGTTTATTCTGTTGTATTTATGCGGTTTTGTCTGTTCTCTACAGACTGGAGTTAAATTCAATGTGCCAGCGAGTCAGGAAAATGGTGCCTTTTCACTGGGATTGACCACATTCCCAGAAGATTGTCAGAATGGAGTGGCGTATACTGTTAATATTCAGGTCACCGGCAGGTAGGGGACATGCTTATGTTTTTTACTCATGGAGCTGCTTCTGTTTTCATGTTTCATGCATTAACCTGAGGAATGCCCCAACGTGTACACCTAAATGTAAAAACGTAACTTTCCTACGTGCTAATTGCCTCTAACCGCACCTACATCCTTAATACTCTTAAAGCAGTCACATTATTTATTCTCAGCCTCTATTTAGCCTCATGCTGTGAAGACAGACTGCAGATATGCTACAGGAGATGGTCAAAGACTATGGGCATGCTACAGCAGATGGTCAGACTATGAGCATGCTTAGTCAGAAGCATTGCTTGTTGGAGATTGTTGCTGCTACTACTGCCTTTTTATAAAGCAATGCTTCATAAATCTCAATGAAGATACCAAACCTAAAAATCAGCAAGTAGTACTTTGCAAATATCTATCCTAATATCTATCCTAATATCTGTATCTAATCTACTCCAAATGTATCAAACTTCATAAGGCACACTTCTGACGTGATCACACATCCACCCATGCAGCTGCCTAAAAACACCCCACTCACCAGAGATCACTGGTCATCCATTTAAAGATATACCATATGCACTTTACTAAAGTCGGCTCACTTTTTTTCAAACTCTTTCCCAGTGTTATTAGCTGCTCCTGCTTTCCAAATGATATCCTTCAATACACCCGCATATACCCTTCGATCTCCACAGGTCTAGATCCGGTTTCCTCCACACTCAATCCTCCTCTCATCCAACAAACTCTCTCAGGCTCAGAAAACAGATACTGCCCATCATGTAAAACTGCTTTAAAACCACTTTATTAAGAATAAGGCACTTTTTTTAAAGAAAACACTCCTTTAGTAAAACCGATCCAATGATCCTCTCCTCTTCAGCGTTTGACAGTGCGCGCTTACCCAGCCCATCCAATGCATTTCGACAGACTTCCTCTTAAGGGATGACGTGCATGCTGACCAATGTATACACTAGTTATATTCTCCCCATTCTATCACATTGCAGATCTACAAATAACCATTAGATGTTACTAGCATACAATACCACATACCTTTTGCTGAGAAAACGGAAGATCCTATACTTCATACTTTTAAAATTACTAATAGATTACATTAAAAAAATATCTTAAATCCTCATGTGCTGAAACCATTCACACTGCAGAGCAGTAAAAAGCATTCCTTTTGCGAAGACCTCCATTTAAAAGCTACGATATTAACTCTGATTACTGGAATACTTCTTTAGAATACCCAATACCAAAAACCATAGGGGGACAAATAGTTAAGATTCCCTATTCATTGCTGAGGAAGCAATTTAGGTCTACATCAATATTTAACCCTTTTGGGTGCAGCATCTCCAAAATGAAAATCCATTTAGTCTTTCGTGTGACGGCTATTAAATCACTACCCCTCCAATGCTCCACTATTTTCAATCCCGCAGAACCATAATCCTTTCTGGATCTTTATTCTGGTAAATTTGAATGTTTTGCTATGGCTTGTTTTTTGTTTTTTTCTGATCTTGCATCCTGATCTTTTAAGCTGCATTGTGGTTCTACCCACATATTGGTATCCACATGGGCATTCAAGGAGGTACATGCCTGTTGTGGGACAGGATTCTGTTTAATGTTACTACATTTTATACAAGTTCTATGACCTGTAATACAATATTGATATAAATGAATTGATGGTATGACTTGGTTGATACTGTTTTATATCATTTTTATTTTTCCTTCTCAGCTATCATGGTATTCAGGACAAGTCCAACATGGCTGTGATGGAGATCCCTCTCCTATCTGGATATTCCATGAGTTACAATTCTCTTTCGAAGGTATTGAATCGGAAGCTATGTTCTGGATTATACAGGGGAGGGATGGAGAAGCATACGAGTTGGGGATTGTGGGGATATGAAGGAGGTTGAAATGGGAGGTGTGACAAATTTTACCCTCATATTACAAAACCCAAACTGTGACAGATGCACAGATCTAAAGACATGGCTGGGTGCGGAGGAATTGAAGTATACTGCACAGAGCCCAGACCTCAACCCTACAAAACACATTTGGGATGAATTGGAACACAGATGACAAGCCAGTTCTTCTCATCCAACATCTTGGATGTTCTTTTGACTATATGGGTACCAATTCCCACAAATTGTCAAGTCTTGTGGAAAGCCTTCCCAGAACAGTGGAAGATGTGTTGGCCACCAAGTACATGTGTGGGTGACTCCAGGTTAATGTCTGACTTGGAATGGGATGTCCCCAAAAGCTTATATAGATCTGATAGTCAGGCATCGACAAGTCAGGGGGAAAAAAAAATCCTGACCATCTGCTCAGGCAGGCCCTTTGTACAACATGGTTGTAGGCCAATCTAAAGGAGGTAATCGGGTTGGTAAACTGTGGGGAGAAGTGGTGGTGGGGGATTGTAATCCAATGTGCTGGTGTAGGATGCTCTTTTTAGAGCATAGCCAGACTTGTGTGTGCGTGCCACATGACATCTTTTCTTTTTTTCCAATTTACAGCTGCAATCGAAATTTCCCAAAGCTGAAGTGAAGAACGGACATCTCGTTGTGTATTTTAATGATGTAAGTCCTCCCCTGTAGTAAATAACGGTTCTCAAAAATGTAATTCCTATGGGACATTGTGGTGTGATGGTTATAGGTGTCTGTGCCACTAGCAGTAGCTCAATGTCTTAATCACTTCTGCTTAATACCAGTGATTGACGGGATTTAGGTAACAATTGTAATAATTGATGGAGGTGATCACATTTCTTTTGAGGTCTAAATTGATTTCCGCTTCCTTTTTTGGCAGATGACCAGTGAAGTGGTCTCATTTACTGTGACACAAGAAATGGGACCCAGAGTGGATAACTTCCAGCAAAGAACTGTGACGCTCTATGACTACTATGAGAAAGGTAGCATGCATATTCAGCGTTAGATCAGTATCTGAAAGGAGTCAACATGCAGATCTGAGTATTTAAAAACAACAAAATGCCAAAGTGTGTGGTGTGTGTCTGCGCTTCAAACGTGTCAAGGCAAAACTAATAATGCATATTCCCCAATTTTTTCACTTTAAAGACACTGCAAATACAAAAAAAGTTGGGTCTGCCAGATATGCACTCATTTCCAAAGTCCTGTTGCAGACTGGCCATGCACAGCATTTTTGTAGAGCAAGTGGTGTTAGCCCTCCCTAGTATCTTTTCTAAAGCCACCACTGCCACACTCGGATCTTTACAACATTAAAAGGTATTCAGTCTGTGGTCACAGGATAACCAAGAAGGCTAAATAGCTTCTTTAGTAAGTGCAAAAAAGATCTTGCCTTCTCAAACAATGTTCTTAACGGTTCTTTTTGTAGTGCGTCTTTCCCCCCCTGATCCCTGAAGACCTGTAGTGGACCCCCAAAGGCAGGGAGGGCTGACCTTTCGCTCTCAAGGGTGGCTACTTAGTTGTGGGGTATGAACTGTAAATTAGGCATCGGTCACTTAAGGACTTTTAGATGCTTTATTAAAGGACAGCCAAACTTCAGAGGGGGTATAGGGCTTCAGACATCCATAGCAAAAATAGGCTCCGGACTCTCCAGTCCCTTCCAGCTTCCATAGTGCAGGAATATTCTAGTTGAGCAGAGGGTGACACTGTGTAGTGGAGTGACATCTGGGGATATGCATGAGATCTTCTCTGGGAGAGACACCAGACATGATCCTGTGGTCCATGCCATCCTGGCACCTCCAGTCATGGGGCTCCTCTGGTTCTCCTTCCAGATCTAGACCCCCCCACCTGGGTCCACATGTGGCCTTGTGCAGGCTTGAGTCCTAGTCAGCTTCTCCAACCTTGTACATCCCAGGCGAAAGCAGGGGCTAACTTCCAGAGCACATGGCAATTGAGTATTTATGCACTTCCCCAGCATGCGCCACTGGCCATGAAACTCCTAGTGATTGGCTGGTGAGACATAGACACTCCTAATGTTCCTTATTGGCTGCCCCACTCTGGCAGGTTCACACCCCACTACAGGTAAGTGCAAACAATAGCAGAACACGTAGAAATGACGTAATGATACCAGACTACACATCAGTCAGACTGAATACAGTGCTAGCAACCCTAATGCCAAGTAGCCTCTACACTAGGGGTGGATAGGGTTGCACTTTAAGACCAAAAGCAAATGGAAAGTTACTTTTTTCAAAGTGACACCCTTTATTGGCTAACAATTTACAGCTGGCATAGTAAAACACTTGACTAAGGCTGAAAAATAAAATCCTATATATCAGAGCGGCAGCATCTGGAAGTTGCGCTCACAGCAGTTCCTAGGTGTCTCTGGGGAAAATGTTCTCAATTGGGACGCAGACTCTGTAAAAACCTAGCATAGGATCTGAACCTAACCGATGACCATGGCTGCTCGCATTAATAAAATCAGTATGACTTGTTGGTCTTTGATGATCCAAATGATGTTGGTCTTTGGATCCAGATGGTCCAAAGTCATCTTTGGCTGGATGACTTGTTTGTTTTTTCTTGTCACTTTTTTTTTTTTTTTTTTTTTTGCTTTTTTTTTTTTTTTTTTTTAACACCAATATGGCGTTGTTTAGTGAGGTGTTTTTCTGCTCTCCTGTATTACATCTGACTTGTTTCTATTTTGTTTTTTGACAGATGAGAATTGCTTCGGTGCCCTGTACCACCCCTGCACTCTTTAAGGCTGAAAATACAAAGTAAGGCTGCTTGGCATAATACAGAACATTTTGCTGGTTCTCTGTAGCATTTCTCACACTGAACATATGGAGCCCAACTTTCTCAAGTGATAGTCCACATCAAAAATAACTTTAGAAAAACACATTTGCATGCATCTCTGCCTGCTTGGTTGGAAACTCATTACAGTTGTATTGCACAATTTGTTCATATTTGATCATATATTTTTTTTTTTTTAAGAAATTGTGGCATACCACTGGTGTGGTGGTTTTTTTTTTCTTTTGGGTTTTTTTCTCCTCCCTCTCCTCCCTCTCCTGAGGCACTGGGGACGTAGCCAGGGCTTAAAGGAGAATTATGAGATGAGTGATTTTCACTCAGCCTCATAATCTGAGCCAACCTGTGACCAATGAGACTGTCGCAGGTCGGCTCAATAGATCGGGAAGTAAGCTAACACATACTGGCACTCGCTCACTTCTCGATCTATCTGTGCAGAGTCGTGACTGTCACGGCTCCCTGCAGGGATTCCCCCCTCCCCTGTCCGATCCTCCAGCGCTGACTGGCGGAACTGATGGGAGGGGGTGGGTACAGCTGGCTCTGCCTCTAGATAGGCAGAGGCAGGTGTCACTCACGCAGCTGGGCGGATCCAGACAATTGTCCAGGATCCGTTTCGGCTGCAGCGTCTCAGTATACCGTAAGCTACAGCTCGCGGTATACTGAGCTTTGGGTGACAGGAGGATGCTAGTTTGTGTCCTCCCGTTACCCTTAGAACTATGGGGTTAGGGCTTTTCCCCATAGTGCTCCTAACGGCTACATCACTAGTGCGTTCCAGAGAAGTCTTGTAGGTAATCAACCTCACAAGGAAATAAAAAAATTGCACCATTTTCCTGAGATCTTGCAAGATTTATGGGGGAAAAAATTGTATATATTTATATTACGCACACCTGTCTTCTGCCCTGTCAACATTGCAGTTCCTGTCTCTGGCAGCAGCTGCTGGTCTTCACCACTGCACTGAATGATTCTTGCATAATGGCATGTGTGTGCTGTTCAGTTCAATAGTTCTCTTCACTGTTGCATGACATGCCCCAAGGGGTGGGTCCATGATGGCCTGGGTACAGGAAGTAGGTTAAAAGATGGCAGTCCTTATACATGTGGCAGAAAGGAATTTCTGCAGGGGGACTGTACCAGCTTAGATGGGAGTATTGCAAGGGGTTGTCACTGGCTGCTGCTAGTTCCTTGGCCTAGTATTGAATCTATACAATGTTACTAGATGTAATTTGGCACTAACAATCTTGCCTGACTGTTATCCAGAATTCTCCTCAGAGTAGCTGACTTGGTTTATATCTGTTTAACGGAGTCTCTTATTTTGCTTGCAGGACAGGAAGTTCTGAAGTCCTCCTTTCCTCATTTACCTGCTATACTGCTGCTACTAGTTGTATGACCTGTATAGAAAATCTAATGCTGGAAAGTTTAAAACAATAAATAAATCTATAATAAAACAGTGCTGTGAAATGTTTAATGTTTTCTTAAGATACACCTGTAGCTGTCAAAGCTAGCCAATGGTATTCAACGCGTAACCATTTTATACTTTGCATGCATGACATATGTGCATGTCAGGCCAATGCTGGGGCAAAAGAGTTCAGCTTGCCGATGTCTCAACAGATAGACATTCCTGTATTTCAAACTTAAACCAACATTCTACTGTGGATGCGGATTCTAAAGAGTGCTGTAACTGGCTGGGAATGTGCGCCAAGGGTTTTTTTTTTTTTTTTTTTTTTTTTTTTTTTTTTTTTTTTTTT